TCAATCGGAATGAGTTGCTAAATATGTTTTCCACATTCGTATTGTTTTCCGTTTACGAGCTTTTTTTAGTTTTGACATGGTTTTTGCTTCACAATTTGGTTCTATTATATATCAGTAGAAAAATTTAGTATAAATCAGACACGAAACTCCGACTTTTCTCCTTAATTTGCAATATTTAAATATCCCCGCATTTTTTTTTCATATTAAATTATCTTTTTAATATATAATTCTGTAATTCTCTTATATTTTACAATATTATTGCAATATATTAATAATTTCTTTTTTAAACGAATTATATAGGCAAACATTTTTACAAATGATATACAAATTGCGAAATGTCAGAACGAGCGATAGAGTAGGTAAAATTTTGGAATCCATATTCGAAAATATTCCGTCGTTTACAAACTTTAATAGTATTCAAAAATGGAAGACAAACGCTCGTGACTTAATATTCATCTCACTCACGTATAGCGCGGCGATGCTATTTATTCTACTTTGGCAATGTCGGCCAATCGCGTGCATCTAAAAGACCGGCTGACTACAAGCTGTGATTTATCTCGATGGTCGAATATGATCCTACCGACAATAAAGATCTGTTGAATATACGTGTCGATTCCTTCCCAGGAATTGCGCGGCCATAAACCTTCATCGAGAATTAAATGAGTTTTAACGGAGGAAGGAAATTGTGGTTTAGATATTATACTATCTTACCCTTAACGACGACTATAGTTGCGTATTCCCGGCCGTTACGCGAACATCCATTAGAATAGTGAATTGCAGATGTTGATTCATTTAATACACGGAGACGGATCGCGTGAGAGATCACTACGATAAAACATGTGGAACGCGAGCGCGAAAAAAAAGAGATAGCGAGAACTCGCTATAAAAAATAAATATCTTTTTTTATTTTTTTTTAAATATTTTCTCATATTCACAAATTTATTAGATTTTTACGCATATCGCAGGAAGCGACAAACGCGACTCTATTATAAATTATTTGTCGAATCAAGTGTTAAATTATCAGCAAAAACGCATTAAATATTGAAAACTTGTAACGAGATATATCTTGGATTCCGTTTCAACGTATTACACTGCGTATCTTCTCTGTTTCTGCAGAGAGATTAAAATTCAATTGCCGACGAGATGTAAAATGAGCTCACAATTCTATATAAGAAGAATGGAATACAATTAATTTTTCATGGCACCTTTGTCAATATTACACAGATTCCTTTATGCAGTACAGTCATGCGCATCGCGAAAGTGTACAGATTCAGTCATAGGATAGGCAACCACGAGGGACATCAGGTGTTGTGCGAACATCCGGGAAAAGCACGAACCTGATAAATCTCCCCTTATTTCGATCTGGCATTTTGCCGCGCCGTATAGGACGACCCGAAAGAAAACTTATATTACACTAGAACACGTGATTAGAACAAATATGAGAAAAATACAACAAATATTAGAGACACAGAGAAATTGTATTGTAAATATAATAATATTACTTTTATCAATACAACTATTTTCTAGAGATAAAATAAGGGAGCGGTGTCGTTTTGCAATTTATATTAAAATATACCTACCTATGTCATTTTTAATATAATTAAATTTAATTTTACATTATAAGAGCGCGTCGAAAGGACAGAGAATTAATATTAGCTTCATTAATTCCGTAGATAATTGCATATTAATTTCGACTTTTTTCAGAAAATAACTTTTTCATTAAACCCGTATTATTTTATCGCAAGCACGGCACTATATAATATTAAGCGCGAATTGTAATTCTCGTTAGGCTTCTTTCTCGTTACCTTCAGTGGCAACCACTTTTGAAATTGACTCTTTTTTTCTATTGTCGCCGCTGTAGTCGAGTTTACCCCGTCGGGGCTGTCCCTTTTTCCTACCCCTCGGCATTTTCTCTTTTGCCGTTAAAACCCTGCTTGCTTTTACTTACTACTCCAACGGAGAATCCATCCATTCGTCCCCGAAGGGTTGGCACGTCCCTTCCGTCAGAGGGACGATCGCGCTAAGTGGCAGATTCAGACTGATCGAAAGCGGTCGAGATAAAGAAAAAAAGAAAGTTCCCAAGCAGAGAGGAAAGTCGGAGAGTGGACTTAAGCCCGTCGAGAGGGTTACAACGAAGGATGAAAAGAAAGGTACGCGTCGATACAAAATGCTGTTTACGCCCTTCCATTTTCAACCACTGTGTCCTTTTACTTAATTACAAGTCTCTTTTGTTACGCGCAACTTTTTCGTCGTTTTGCCGTCATATATTTTTCCTTGCACCTTCGAATCATTATATATATATATATAATATTATTTCATCAAAGATCTCAGATAAATATTGATACTCTTGTTTTTTTATTCTTTCAATCTGTGATTTTTCGCGCGAGTATGAAAAGATACCTCTGTCTTTATATTCTCGCTATCAGCCTAAAAAATATTGGCAGCGATTTTTTTCGTACAAGCCGCAAGATACGACTCTATCTTTCCCTCAATTTGCATTTTTTTCCGTCTGTTTCGCACGCTTGATCTGGGTGACAAAGAGAAGGCTCTGATGGGTGGATCGTCGCGCGGATAAAGGCGTCTTCACGGTGACCCTCTCTCTCGTCGCGACGGCAGTAAATCTTTCGTCGACAAGCGAGATCCATTGATCCCACGATCGAATGTGAAATCCACCTTTTGTATCCCGCACGCTCGCCTGCCGCGGGAAGGGTAAATAATGTAGAGGGACTCGTCGGGAACGTTAGACAACAAATAAATCAGCCTCATCCTGGCTGCTACTATCCCGTGTGGATCCTCGCGGTAATCTTCGTGATGGTCGAAGCGCTCTTTGTCGATGTTCTCCGAGGAGACAGAAACGGCGCGGAGCTCTTTTATTTTTCTCGTTGGCGCTATCGATCACGCTCAAGTGGTCGCTCCGCATTACACGTCTATTCTTGATGAAAGTGGATCGGAACTGATCTATTTTGACGACGCTCGTAAAATCGTCAAAAGTAGCGAACGAGGAGTGCGTTAAACAATGGTAGATTAAATGATCGATATAGATTTTGATCGAAGCGAAAACAAGGAGAGAATATATCGAGACTCGTACTCGAAAGTTGCTAGTTTATTATTAGAATTTAATCGCGCGTATTTCAATGTTCTCTGTTAAAACGTTGTTATGATGACTTACTTTTATGAATAACTGCTGGAATGAAATTATCCCGGAAATTTATTATGGCTCTTTTCATTTATTTAATGCTTTTTTCAGGCAAGCAACGCGAAACTAAATGGCAAATATAAGCTGTTTCAAAGACTCGCTATTTATGAATGGAAAAGCACAATTCCGATAGTAATATTCTTTCGGAAGCAGTCACCATCGAACATTGCGAAATATTTCTTGTTTAGTTATTTTTCGCTCTTTTTCCGAGTCGCATATTCCGAAGTGTCCCCTGACATGTCTCTTTCGCTAACGTCCATAAAGAGAATCGCTATCAAAAAGTGCGCTATTGCTCTACCACGGAAGTCCCCCTTTTCTCACATGAATAAAACAACCGGATATTATATATATATCATGGTCTGATGCTGCGGAGCTTAGAATGCTCGAGAAACGACTTCCGGTGCGTTCCGACCGACTTGAGAGAACCGAAAGGAGTAAGTTGAGATTCACTGCGAAGATCTACGAATCTCAGACCGTACGGGCTGCTGCAGACGACGGTGCATTCCTTATCGCAAGAGGGAAAAACGTCGTGTATTCCCAAGATCCATTACCATGTAAATATTGCATCGAGTTGCCTCTCTCTCGGAATTTTATGGCCAGTCACATGCATGCCAATCGTATTTTAATTCGTGGCGTTACGCTGCCGCATTTTTGCAATAATATCTGTGACAGCAATCGTGTATATATATATATATACTTTTAAAGGGAAAGATCTATAAATATTTATAAACATCTCAGTTCGCAAAATATAAAATACACGCGACTAATTTCGTTAAAATTGATATAAAGTGACAATTCAGATATAGAAATGGAGCGCTGTATTGTTTTAACGAGAAAGATGTAATTTATATTTTTGTATTAAATGAGTTTACAATTGTATTGTAAATAACATTTATTTAAACTCACGATATTTGTTTAATATAAAAATATTAAAATATAAATTAAATATTTTCCATTAAAAGAATACAGTGCTTCGTTTCTGATTCGCCATTTTATATCAATTTTAACAAAATTAATTGCATGTGTTTTATATTTTGCAAATCGAGATATTTATAAATATTTGTATAGTGAGAAAAAGAGAAAGAAATGTGCAAAAATCTCTCATTCTTGTTTCCACCATCTGATTTACACTATCTTTGATCTTATGTTTCTAGAGGATCATATCTAACTGTACGCAAACTGTGAATACTCTGTATATTTACATACATGCGCTTGTGTAGATTGCTCACGCGCGGATTACACGTTAGTTTACATGAAATAATATGTGCGCAAGAAGGATCGCGTGTCTAACTAAATTCGAACATTTCGTTATGCAGCTGAAGTCGGTGAAACTGCGCTTAATCCGATAAGTATAACGGAAAGAGACGTTAAATCGGATTACGTGCGTTGTATTGGCATAAAATAAGTGGAGCTATTTGCAAACTAGGACGTCGGATGTTTCTTCTAAATTTTGTCATGTTAACGAAATCAATATCAATAATAATGATGCGAATATTGTCAGATATAAGTCACGTAATCTAATTCCACTGAATTAAATTATCTTAGAACAGTTGTTATCTCTTAATAAAGAATAGCTAATATTAGCCTAAGTGAGTGATTCTTTGCAAAAATTATACGTAGCTTTATAAAATCGAGTCTGATACTATTGATTAAAAGTTGATCTATATTTTTTATTCTTGATACTTTTTTATCATTTAATCCGGAAATTGTCTCTCACAGCTTGACATTTTCTGAAATTAAGTTTCACAATTTACAATTGTCATCTGTTAATGCATACTAACAATATTTGTTCTTTTTGTTTCAGGTAAGGATCTAACTTTCGCCAATAATAACGCGGGTGAGTGTTACATCTAACAATCTATACATTTATTATCGCATGTACTATTTCTCAATTATCGATTCGCTGTCATTTTAACAAGAAAATGCAATAGCGTTTTCATGCAACCGTCATACAACATCACAATCAATATTAAGGCTCCATTCTGTTTTCGAATTTTACGAGATTTTTTTGTTGTTATCAACGATTTATAACAAAAGGGGTTATTTATAAAAAAATATGATATTTTGTCACCCAAATGCATCGAAATTATTATATTCGCAAGGTTAGTAATTTATAGTTAATAATAATTAAAAAAAACTGCATGGATTTAATTTGGCTTTGATAATTTCAAGATAATTTTCATTTATACGCATATATTGATCTGCAGTATTTATCTATACTTTCTGTCGCAATGTTACTATAGAATATTTCTAACAATAGCAACATTTTTAACAAACATAGTTATATAAAATATGAAATTATTGCTTCGTTTGCCTGTACGAAATTTGAATACCACCTGTATCCCAACTTTTTAAATTTGACGCAATTTTCGAAATTGCTGTATGAAAAGCGATTCATCCTTTCGCTTTAACTTCGTCTTGAGGGCAAGGAGAGCCAATTCGTCTAAATCCCACGTAATTCGCCAAAGATTCCCGTACGCGCGCGCACCACAGGTCGTATCCCGTAAAGGGAAAGGTATTCTTTCGCGAAGCGATCTCCGCTGTCGGTGACGTTAAAGAGCTGGTCTTTCATGAGGGCCCATAGCGCTCGCAGAATCAGAAAAAGTAGAAAAAGAGATCGGGAAAGCGTACCGTCGAGATAAGGCAGGCAGGTTGCAGGCAATCTGGCTGATTAGGCTCCGGGATAGTAATCCCGTAGATCCCCGACGATGCCGCAGACCGTTTATCCGACTGTCTTCGTCGTGTATCAGGCGAAGAAAAGGGAACCAAGACTGTCGAGCGAGAAAAGCGACGTCCGTTACATCGGTGCCATGCCGGGAGATTAGGATTCTTCGGGAGAAGCTCGGTAGAATTGAAGGAAAGAGGGAGATTTCCTTTCATGAACCAGATCGATGATACGTGTACTCGTATGTTACTCCCGTTTGTATCTTTTTCCGCTTCTTTTTCCGTTCTTCCACCCTGTTTCGTCTCGTTTTTCTTTTTCTTCGTCGTTTCCATATTGCGTGTTCCTTCGATAGAATCGTAAACTTTTTGCGACAACTTCTATGAAATATGCTACGAAATCACGACACGATTTGTTCGATTGCTGCGAGACTTTCAGCGGACCCTCGTCATCTTTCGTTCACTGGCCGTTCACTTTCACGCAAACATGCTTAAAAAAGAGAACAAGAAAACGCAAAACACATTGCATATAACTTTATCAGTTTGCATGTTGATTCACGGTAATCTTTTTTTGATTCATATCTGTAAGAGAAATCGAAATTTGTGAAAGCTTTCGTCTCCGGGATGAATTTACATTTGGCGAAGAAACGAGACGAGAAGAAGTGCGCGCAAGCCGGCATATAAATAAATAAATATATAAAATCCGCGTCGTGTATATACATATATATATATATATATATAAAATATATATATTTATACATACACACATATATGCGCGTAGCCGGAAATGTATTGACCATAGTAACTGGCGTTCGTGTCGCAAGAAAAGTGGAAAACGCATCGTATCAATTTTGCTGGCGCCGAGTTTATTGCCGCCCTCGCTTTTTACTCTCGAGCAATGCATTTAAATTATTTATAATAGGACTGCTTTTTCAATCTACGTCAGCGGCCGTGAATGGAAGAGCAGTGGCAGAAATATATATATATATATATTGTATATATATATGTGTGTGTGTGTGTGTGTATGTGTGTATACAGGATGATCCACAGTAGAAAGATAAGACAATTGTTCGAAAAATAAAAGCACTGTAAAATATATTTCCAGTTTTTTCAACTTTTATATAAGAAGATGTTTCACCGTGATGTAAATAATTTTTGCATCGTTTTATCATAAATACCATAACTTGAGACAGGGGATTTTATTTTATATATTATAGTCTATATTTTACTCTATATTATAGAGTTATACAATAATAATAAAATCAAATTGAAAATATCTATATTATAAATCCATATATATTGAATATACATATATAAAACATCTTATTATATAAAATTTCAAATGTTCATGAAATGCGTATAATATATTAGAAATTTTTATCAAATATAGCTGATAATTTATCGCAATCAAAAGAAGCAGTAATAAATTTATTGTGTGTGACTAGATTTCTCTCAATTAAGAGAGTATCTGAACTTTTAATGCTTTCTGCAAGACTTTCTAAAGAAAATTTATCTGTTATATCTATATTTAATTTATTATGTTTTGTCGGCAAAAAGTCGACGATGCAATGTAAATTATATTTTAAAATAAGCATGTCTATATGTTTCATCTTTTTTCGCAGGACAATAGCTTAAAACGCTTTTTTAATTAAAATAAATTAAGATAAGAGTATATTAGAGTGTATATGAAATTGTGTAATACATATTATGATTATGTAATACAAATGCTTGCGATCTTTATATTACATAATGTCATATTTGTTACGTTATAATTTTGCGCGGACTCGAAAATAGTAATAAAATTTTGGAATAAAGAAAATCGAGTATAGGAGAGATGCCACATCCGCCATGTCCAATGTAGGATTATCGGGATCGACTAAGGGATTTTAAGGGGATGACATAGGATTGGATTGCAAGAGGTACGCTGCGAAGCTCTCGAGAAAACCTTTTGTATCTCTACTATAATTATTACTTGCAAGATTGCCGCTAGTTCAATAGTTTTCCTATTTCGCATTCTACAAAAAACAGTCTGTATATAGGTATTAATTTTTGCAAATTGAAAGTACCTAACAAATTTGTAATTAATATACTAGTTTAATGATTTTTAACATATAAAACAAAAAAAAAACATCTTCAATTTTTCTTCAATAATCTGCATCGACAGAGATTAAAAGTGTTATTTAAAGAATAAGAAAAATATTTATAGTTGTTTTCAATGACACACATTTTGCTTATTGTTAGATGTAAGATATAATAACATTTTCCATTTTCCAATATACAGATTTAATAAATCGAGAGCAGAATTTAAAACCAAAAAATATTTAAATAAAAATGCGATTAATGGATCTTTTTCTATGTATTTTAATCATTTTATAAAAATAAAAAATAGAGCAAGTATCTTTTTTTGTAAGTTTTATTCAATTTGTTGAGAAATCGCTAAAATCGAACCAAACGATCTCTGCGTGACCCTTCAATTAATGCAATCGGAGTTAATTAGTCGCGCGACTCAATTTACCATTTTTTTCTCCCTCTAACTTGCGGCGGCCAACCAGTCGTGCGCATCGACCACCGCGTAAAAAAAACCGTTTGCTTGCAATTTCTCGTTTTCGGTGGTTGGTTTAATTAGAAGGCAACGGGCGTTAAAGCAAACGAACACGAAGCCATTGTGTGGCCTTTTCCTTTGCTCGTCGCACAAACATGGTCCCGGCATATTCGCGATTTTATACTGCGTAATGCGTTAAAATTAAAATTAATTACAGATATCGCGCGAAACACGCGCGCATAATCGGTAGAAAATATCCTCAATCTTTGTGATTCTCATTTAAATTTCCGTAAATATAAATTTTATTTATCTTTACGATAGGTAGATTTGAGCTGTTATAAAAGTTCAAGTAGTAGAGATCGTGCATAAGTCAGACGTGGAAATATTCGCTGCACTCGATACGAGAGTTTCTCTATTGCGTCCGACATTTCTCGACTTTGACAGACATCTAAAATGCGCTTGAATCATTGTAAATTCTTTTTGAAAGATGCGAGCTTGAACAAGGATCGTCGCGATATCTGCATTTTCCAATTAGTGCCTACATTATCGCACATTTGCAAATGAACAAAATTATGTCACGGTAAATTAAACTGAAACGTTTGACACGAAGGAATGTTCTGCGGCACTTGCGGAAATGAAAATACAGAGAAAGAGAGAAATGAAAGTTGAACGTGTGCAGATAGAGTGTATTATAGTTTTGGCCGGAAGCGGACGAGAGTGCTATTGGCTGCGCCGTATCGTGTAACACGATCGCAAAGGGTTCGCTTCCCTCCTCGCATGCCGGTGACATCGAGCGGATTTGCAGGGAATTGCGGAAAGTGCAAAGCGCGGACAAAAAAACCGGCAGATAAAACACGATCCGAACCACTTGGCGGCAAAAGGGGGCGAAAGTGAGAGAGAACTCGGGGAAAAAGAACGGCGGAGGAAAAGAATGGAGAACGTGAGATGTACGAGGGAACCAAGGGTCGCGCATGGGCGTATCGGTCGAATTATCGAGTGGTACGTTACGGTTTTATGCAGATTCGCCAGAAATGTCGAGGCAGTTTCGGAATTAATGGCGGCCGGACAAATGTTTCGCGGTTTTTCTGCTGAATTATCGTGCCCCCGGGCGCAACATAACGCGCGCCAGCCTTTAAATGTGTGTGTGTGCGTGTGTGCCGCGAAGAGCTATACGTATGTACACGGTCTCCCGTGCATACCCCTGTATATTGCACACGTGAACGTTGCGAACATCGCGACACGGTACGCGTACATGCGCCAACGGCGGAATCGGTTTCGGGTAATGTATACATTACATGCACGGTCGCCGCGCGACATACTCGGTTACAAATGCTGGTATAATGCCCCGGAATATGCGTCCGTTTTTACCTAAAGCTTCGCAAAGTGGCCTGAAGCCCGAACGCGACGAGGGCACACGGCGCTTTCAAAATTTCAAACGACGATATATATTAAGAGCGGGATTGATTATTCATCTAATATCGGATTCTCTCGATTACCGATAGTTTTATTTAAAGGTAAAATAAAACGGCGCCGAAGAGATATATTTTTTATTCTTCTGTCCCCAATAGCATTAATGTCCGAACTATTCTGTGTTTTCGTTTTTTAAGCATCGTGCATATAATTATGATTGCATT